GAGGGGCAGAGAGAGAGGGAGAAAGAGAATCTCAGGCAGGCTCTGTGCTCTTAGCTCAGACCTGACGCAGGGTTTGCTCCCATGACCTGTGCAGTTATGATCTGAGCCAAAATCAAGATTGAACACCCAACCAACTGAGCCACCCAGGCACCTTTGTATTTAGGCATTTTAATAATTAACGGTGTACAACACATTCAGTGGTGTAAAAAAAAAAAAAAAAAAAAAAAAAGTAAGCCAAGTCAAAAGTGAGATATCAGAGTCTCACATCCTTAGGACTCAGCATATAGCATTTAAATCTTATTGAATGATGGATTAAATAAGTGAATGATTATGAATCAAGGGTGATTATAAAGAGAAAGACCAGAATAATTATCTTTACCTACCAAAACAAAGCGAATAATAGCAAACAACAAAAATCCTACAGGAGAAATTTACTTACAGTGCTTTGGAAAAAAAGGCAAAGCAGAACAATTTGAGGATGATTCCAGTTTCTTTATGTGAGCTGGTATCTTGGGTTTAAGCACATCCGGTCAGAGGCCTGCAGACTTAACTTTTTTGATCTCTTTTGATTTAACCTTTTAGATTAGTGTGATTCTAAGGTAGCAAACCGTGAAATAGAAAGATTAATGTCTTCACTCTGGTTTAAATTTCCAACCGTTTCTTTCTTCCTGCCATAGTTAACCCTCTCCCCTCAGATCCCTGTTGTCCAAGGCAGCTGTCTCTGACTGGGGGAGTCCCCAGGAATGGGTGCTTTGGTGTGGCCCTTTAAGACTCCTGAGCCCAAGGAGATGAGTGCTCACCAGGGGAGGTCACCAGGGGTCTCCTTTGGGCCAGAAGGGGACCTGACCCACCAGTGCTGCTGAGGCCAGTCCCCTTAGAGGATACTCCTAAGTGCCCTCGGGGTTATCTTCTCTCAGAGTAAAAGCATTCTCTCAGGCAAAAGCGAAACCAGTCTAAGTGTTCCTGAAGAGTTTCTCAGTGTTCTTCAGTGTCTGATTATGAAAACGGTTGCCTTTGTTACTTTCGAGTGCATTTGCCTGACTGACCCTGAAGTCTGGTCTCTTCTAGTTTGGTCTTTGTGACCCTTACAGGAGCGACTGCTCAGCACTCCAAGGCTGAGGACATCAAGTAGAAGTCTCTAAATATCCTCTGTGTTCTCATGATTAAACACAGTATGCTTTTCGATATTCGTATGTAATCTTCGCTTAACTGCCCTAGATGTTGGCATCACAAGTAATAAACAGATCAAATATCTCTGATTCAGACTAGATGCTGTTATGTATAAGAAGCAGATACATGGTGATGAGAAAATAGAAGAGTGGAAACAGACATGAATACTTTGCAAAAGTTTTAGAAGAAATGGAAGATCTTCCAGTGGGTGGTAGATCTTTTGTGTTGGATAATGTTAATATAAAAATTGTCCTGTAGTTTTAATTCTCGTCTTTTCCCCCTATCACCAGGGGAGAACATAACTTAGAAAATGGAGTATTTTTTTCCCATTCATTTGTTTTAGCATGCCTTTTGGAAGCTAACTGAAGAAGAAGAAATATTTATAGGATCAGATAAGGATTCAGCTGTAGTAATTATGACTTTATCGTTGTGGCTTCTTGATGCCCAGAAAATGTGTTTTCATCAACTTCCTGTCTAACCAAGGGCATCATTGTTCTGTGTAACCTTTGTCTGACCTCCATTTCCTTATCTTCCTCTTAAGAGAGCCCTGGAATAAGATAATTATCACACAAGCTCCGATTTTTAACAGAGTTCATGTAAGCACGTTACGGGAAGCGGCAAGTCCATGGACTTGACGGATGCCGCTGCGTATCTTCTGACAGAGTGGCCAGAGGGTTCAACCTGTCCTTTCATTTGGTTTATTAAATGTGATTATATTCACACTGGCAATCCTTAAGGCCGATAAAGCTCTAATGGAGGCGATAATATTTCATAAGCTTTAGGAACTTTGCCCAAGTCATCATTGGATTTTAACATAGCATTCATTCTTCCCCCTCACTAATATGAGAATAAATTCTGGCCCAGAGATAGGAGAGGAATTGCTCCCATGGCTTAAAATTAATCCTGGGCCATTTCTTGAATGCCTCCGATGCTTGTTGTACTCTATTAAATGCTACCCTATGTGCGTGATTTTACTTAATTCTCAGCTATCGTAAGAGGTATTTTATCTGCACTCTGCCATTGATAAAAATTTATTTTCAGAGAGTTTGAGTAACTTCAATTCACAAAGCTGCTAAGTAGCAGCGAAAGTCTGAACATGGCCTGTTAGATTTTAACACTTTGTGGGAGATCAGTGACCAATACCATCTGGAAAACATGGTTAAAGGTTCTTTTTAATGTCTCTTATAATATCTTTAAAAATAATGTCCTTTGGCCATTCACTGTCAATCCCCTCTCAAACGGGACCAGTCTTGTGCCAAATCGTCAATGCTAAATATAAGCTAGATAGGTTATCTTAGGCCTCTTGGACCTCACACTGATGTTTTCCGTGTCTCTTGGTTGCTCTGTTATTTGACAAGCTTGGACAGGCCTTACCCGAGCCTCATCATACCGGAGACATTGTAAGGGACATCAGGGTCAGCATAGGGCGTGGATGGGACATTCTTTGAAGTGCTTTTCTGAGTAATAGACATTTCTACCTTATTTATTTGGCACATAATGGAGTGCTCCTCTTTTAGATAAATGTGGAGCAAGTGTGCTGTGCCTGAGTGGGGATAAGTTACTAGTGTATGAGTACTTCTAATTCTGCTCCCCCCCCCCCCCCGCCGGGGTGGCTCGTGGCTTGGCTTTATTCCACCCGCTACCCAGACTGCCTTGCGGATCCTATGCGTTTGAGGGCTATCCTTAGCGGTGGTCATGAGGAAAGTAGGTCACAGCAGTTCTTAAGGCCCAGGACATGGAGACCCCATTGCTATCCGCTCCATTCTGGAGAAGCCCTAAAGGAATCCATCCCAGTTGAGAAATATCTGTGACCGCAGTGTTTCCGGGGGATTAGGCACTAATGGCCTGATTTCAGGGTATCAGCACTCGAGATCATGGGGACTGCTTTCTCTGGCCAAGGACCTGGATGTGCCTTTCTCTCCTAGGGGACCAAGTCCTCTGGACTTTTGTCCTATCTCCTCTTCCATTGAAGAAGAGTCCACATCGGGCAGTTTTTCCAGAGCATTGAGAAATTAAGGGAAACAGTAATAATAGTAATAATAGCTGTAGTTTATCAGAGATGTGTGCTATGTGCCGGATGTTTTATATACATCATCTCCAGTCCACAAAGCAGCCTTCTGAGGTAGATGTTAACTCATTTAAAGACAAAAAGAAAAAGAAAGCTGAGATTGGCAAGGTCACACTGTTCATGTAGTAGGTCACAGAGCCGGGATTCTAGCCCGTGCTTGTCTGAGATCATTGCCCAAGCTCCTTTCACTAGGTCACAGTGTCTTTTTGTTAAAAATGGTTCTAGGAATTTCAATAAGCATGTTGATTGTAGAGCCATTTTGCCTGGAATAACTGTAACAGACAGCACAATTTCAAATAGCATTTCAGGAATTTGGCAGATGGGTGTCCTAATTCAGCAAGCATCATCTAACGAGTGACTGTTAAGTGCCTGACATTCACTGTTCAAGGGCCTGCAGACCCAAAGCTGAGTCCTTACTTTTGACAAATATTCAGCGAGCACCTGCTGTGTGCCAGACACTCTCCTGCACAGTAGGGTTGCTGGGGCTTGGAGCTCCCCGTGGGAGGAGGCAGATAAGTGAGATATTTCATAGGTTAGAGATGTGTTCTGGGAGAAGGAAGGTAGGCAGTGGAGGAGGTTAATGGGGATGCCTCACAGAGGTGGTGAATTTGAGCAGAGATTATGATGAGGTGGGGAAATGAACCAGGGGAGAACATTCCAGCTGGAATTGCAGGCCCCTGAGGGGAGGGTCCCACTATTTCAGAGGTATGATGAAGAGGGATACCTGCCCAGAGCAGGGAAGTGGGAGAGAAGTAGAAGATGAGTGAGCATGTGTGGATCATTCTTTAGGTGGCATATAATGACGGCCATTTACTCTTCATGAAATGGGGAGTCACGGAAGGATTTTGGGTGGAGAAGTGACACGATTTGCTTTATACTCCACAAGGATCAGCCTGGCTATTGTATGGAAAACACTACAGAGAGTGCAGGGGCAGCGGTAGGGAGACTAGTTAGGATAGTGGAGTAACTGGCAAGCAAAGATGGTGGGCTGGATGGAGCACCAGTGGTAGAGGTGAAGGCGTGCCCGGAGGGGTGGAGTCGCCACAGTTGGATCAGTTTTGAAGGTGGAGCCACAGGATTTACTGAAAGGACTGAATGTGGGCCTTTTTGTTAGTTTTTGCGATTGTATTTTCTTTGGCCTGAGACTCCTTGAAAGATGGATTGGGCTGTGGGGTAAGACCTGGAGAGAAAACTCCCGAGTTTACTCTTAAGAGACCTTAGGTTTGAGGTAGACTTCTAGTACAGAGAGTCAAAACCATTCCTTGCTTTTAAGAAAATTGTCTGGTAGCAGAGACTCTCCGAAGAAGCAAATGTTGCTACAAATACAGTCAGATCCACATAATGGTAGGAACGTGCACAAGCCCCGTGGCCACCCAGCCAAGACTGTTTCCGGGGAGGTGGGAACTCAGCATCCGAATTGGAGGTGGGGTCAGAGCCAAGTTTTGAAACATAAGGTTCAGCCGTGCTCGGGGAAAGTGGGTGGGTTGGAAGCTTCTAGGGGCAGCACACTCAGGGCTTGGGCTCTTGAAGAACAACATGCCATTCAGTAGGTCATGATTGCTGAGATTCATGGTGTAGGATAAAAGTGAAGCTTGAGGGTTAGGAAGGCTCAGGATGTGGCTGCCCTTCATGTTGAGTCAGGGAGAAGAAAGGGATGGCGAGCTATTGAAAACACTTTCTTGCATAGAAAGAATTCGCCTCTCAATTCCAAACTTGTCAAGAATCCAGCTAGGGATGAATACCAGTAGAAAACAGTAGCCAGTAGATTATAATTTGCCTTTATTTTGTTACTCTGTTATGCTCTTTTCATAACCAGTGTTTCTGAAGCTATGAAAATGCTAGGTTCCTAGTGCTTAGTTGGGATAATAGACTGAGTTTGGTGAAAGGTGCTTGAAATCTTCTTGGACCCCCTGCCAGCTCCACTCCCATCCTGATACTCCGCAGAAAACTCAACAGGGCTGCTAGGAATGAAAGAACATAGTCAAGATGGTATCAGAAAAGACTATGACATGGGCACATGGGTGGCTCAGTCCATTAGGTGTCTGACTTTGGCTCAGGTCATGGTCTCATGGTTCACGAGTTTGAGCCCCGTGTTGGGCTCTGTGCCGACAGCTCAGAGCCAGGAGCCTGGTTTGGATTCTGTGTCTCCATCTCTCTATGCCCTTCCCCTGCTTGCTCGTTTGCTCTCGCTCTCTCACGTGCTCACTCTCTCTCTCTTATAACTGAATATTCTGTTGGGAAGGAGACTGAACATGACTGAGACATAAGAATATATCAGTTTTGGAGTATAGCTTGTAATGAGTGTTAAAGAGTATTAAAATGCAGACCTTAAAATGCAAAAACATATACTCTGCATATGCCTTTTGCATAAACAAAAAAAATGGTATATACATCTATGAAATGCAGAAAGCAGCAAGACTGCTGACTTGATTTGGTGGCAATAATCAGAAGAAGGGCCAATTGATATGGCCTTGGCCAGGGCCCGTGATTTGTTATCTACTTGTCATTTCTGTCTCCAAATGCAGTGGATCCAAAGCTTTGGGGTGTGTAATTTCCTTATAGAGCAGTGGTTAGCAAATTGCAGTATAAGAATCCCTTGGGCATTCATTAAAAGTGCAGGAATGCTGTCCTACTCTTCTCCGTCCAGCCTGCATTCTAGAATCCCAGAGTAGCTTTTAAAAACTACCTCTGCATGCGACCTGCCGCCAGGATTGAATTGGTGGTGGCAGAGCCCAGGCAGGTGATGCCAGAGGTTGCCCACGCCTACAGCTTGGTCGGGGACTATTCAGGGCTACCAGAATAGCCCTGAATCACCCCAGGTGATTCTGATCCAAGTGGCCTCTTCTGACCGCCCATTCAACCTTCAACCCGTTTGCTCTATCTGCTGAATGGTGGCACTAAATTATATTAGTAGAAGAAGAATAGATGTATTTCAGAAGCGTGACAACAGATTTTGCTAGAATTAATCATTTTTTTCTATAAACAGATTAAGTTAAAATGTGGGGAAGTCAGCCAGCTGAAAGTACTTTAAAGAAGTAAGAAATATGTCTAGGGCCACCTAGGTGGCTCAGTCGGTTGAGCGTCCGACTTCAGCTCAGGTCACGATCTTGTGGCCCACGAGTTCAAGTCTCTTGTCCAGCCCTGTGCTGACAGCTCAGAGCCTGGAGCCTGCTTCAGATTCTGTGTTTCTCTCTCTCTCCCTCTCTTCCCTTTCTCCACTCATGTGAGCATGTATGCTCGCCTGCTCTCTCTCTCTCTCTTCCCCCCCCCAAAATAAACTTGAAAAAATTTTAAAATAAAGAAGTGATAAATATGTCTGTATGAAGAGAGATTTGGTTGACTTGCTTTCTTCTGCTTAAGAAAGTCCCACTTTTGTAGAAAAGCTGAAAAAGAGATTCAGCCATCCAAAAATGATCGCTCTTAATACTTTGACTTATCACACAAACTTTGTCTTTTCATGGGGAGTCTGGATGTTGGACCCACAGCCTCTCCAGAGTTCCTACCCTCTCCAGCTGTACAACCACTGTTGTTTGTCACCCATCTCTTCCATGGGGAAGAATGGCCTCCCTGCTCTCAGGGAGTAGTTTAATCTGTCAGCCTCTGTGCCTCCTGGATTAGAAATGCCAGCGGGATTCCAGGAAGCTCCCTTGCCCTGACTATGTAGGACCCTTTCCAGTAAGGATAGAGTCCCCCCTGGTAAATGTGTCAGGACCTACGTCCTCCTCTCTTCTTCTTGGTCCCAATTTTGTTTGCAACGTTTTCTCCTCTTCTCCAGTGGACTCTGCCGCAGCTAACTTTGAGGGAGCAGAAGACCCCCTTTTCCCTGTCTGTTTGAGGGCCCCCTCTGAACAGAAGAGTTTGAAACCAGGAATTCGTGTGGCTTCTTTACAGATACAGCGTTCACCTAGACAGATTTATTTTGCTTCCATTTTAAATGGACAGGTTAAAGGGTTTAAAATGAATTTCATTGTGAAAAGTTTAGTAATTACAAAAAATTATCAACATAGGAAGTGAAGCAGGTGTTACTGTAATTAAACCGCAAAAAAAAAACAAAACAAAACCATAGAGCATGAAGAACCTATAAAAAAAATCTTTTTAAGATGAATTGCATTTCAGCCTTTCAGGTTTTCTTCAAATTTATTTTTGTCTGTAGGGTTTTAAGTTAATCCCCATTGAACTGGAAATATGTGGATTTAAAAATTGAAAGAGCTGTTTATTGGCTTAGTTGCCCATTAGAGAAAAAGAATATAAATGTATAAATGGAACATCACACCTGTAGCCACCATTCAGTCATTTTTAGTACATTGTGTGGGAAATTCAATCCCAGTAATCAGAGTATCTGAAGGCGGCTCCAACCATGGCTGCATTTCTATCTACTTGAGTCACCTCGGAGGCAGGAGGCAAGGAGGCAAGGTGGTGGCTGAGCTGGGCTCCAAAAGCTTTAATTACAAAGAATTTGAGTAGCGAATGGGGAACCCTTTTAGCACTTCAGGCCCTGAGTGAACAGCCCTGCAATAAGGAAGCCTCTCTTATCAGCACCTTCAGAGACCTTGATGAGGCACTGTTCTCAGGCAGCTCACTGGTGTGCCAGGGAGATCTTTGAAGAACATTCTTTGTAGTCTTCATCCATTACCATCATAGAGATAAAAGCTGACGCATTACAGTAGAAACAGAATAATTCAAGACTTGGCCTGGCATATGTATTGAAGGATGAAAAAACTCAACAGTCTGTCAAAACCCCCAAAGGATAGGAGGATCCAGACTGCCGAAGGGGCTCCCATTTCCTCTCTCTGTAGTACTTGTTGTAAGAGTCTGCAAATGCTTAGTTAATGAATTGTGGGGTGGCAGAGAAACCCTGCACTCTAACTTTGGGGAAAACCAAGTTCTATTGATTTGGCTTTGGAGTACAGAAATATCCTAGAAAATGTTGGGATTAAAAAGGGAAACAGATCGGGGCGCCTGGGTGGCTCAGTCGGTTGAGCGTCCGACTTTGGCTCAGGTCATGATCTCACGGTTCATGGGTTCAGGCCCCGCATCGGGCTCTGTGCCTACAGCTCAGAGCCTGGAGCTGCTTCAGATTCTGTGTCTCCCTCTCTCTCTGACCCTCCCCTACTCACGCTGTCTCTGTCTCTCTAAAAAATAAAAAAATAAAAATAAAAAAAATTAAAAAAGGGAAACAGATCAAATTGAGCATCTTCTCGGAGAAGCTGAGAGCTAATGACTTCTATTCATTTCTGTTCAGTGCAGTATTCTGTGGTACCGCCAAACAGCCAAGGGCTTTAGGGGCCACAGTGAATCAGGTGTGATTTTGCAAGACCTTGTTTGTAGACTTGTGACAAGGCACAGTCCTGTTAAATGAAACCGATGTATTCAACCCTTCATTCATTTATACATTCAGTGACCACTAGGATGCCAGTAATGGCTATCTGTATGATGTTACAAGTATTAACTGGAAACTAATAGAATGGCTAGAATTTCCCCCATGTAATTGATTTTTTTCTTAGCAATAGAAATGCCCTCCGCCCGCCCCCCCCACCCCCATATTTCTTTATTGATTTAATCAGATGTTATTCCTACTGAGTGACTCTTGTCTGGACTCCTCTGAAGATTTATATTCGTAAAGGTACAAATACTTACAGGCAACCCACCTTTCTGGGTTTTGGAAGGTCTGTTTTCTCCTTTGTTTTCTTTCGTATTCTCACCACATATCCTTCTGGTGACTAGTTTTGGGTGCCTGCATGAGGCTTGCTGTGAGCAGCGAGCCACAGAGATAAAAGCCTTGAGACATGCATGCAGTTACAGAAAATGGCCAGGCCAGATTGTGCACCTGAATTTCCAAGGCTCTGGGATAGAAGTGAAACCTGCTGTTCCGTCTCATATCCATGAAACTCAGAATCACAACCTGCTTGTTCCTTCCCAATTTATTCACCGTCTGTTTGTGTGCAACATTTCTGTGGACAGACAGGGGATTGGAGGACAGGGTATTTGTTCTTTGGTCATTTTGAGACAGCCATTCTTCTTGCTCTGCTGGTCCTCAGCACCCATAAAAAGAATCCTCAAGTGTAGATTCTCGGCCAGCTGGCCCTGGGTGTCAGAGGGTAGAGTGCCCCTCACTAAGGTGCGAAGGTTGGAAGTCTCTGCTGTAACCTTTGCCTTATTTTTAAAATGAGTGGTTCTGTGGGAGAGAGAACCCACTTCAGCAAGAATCCGCGAGCTGCTTGCTCTTAGATGACTGTATGGAATCTGACTCTGTTGTAATTTATTCACTGTCTATATGGTTCACACCTCATTTCTCACAGATGCAGAGTCAGATGTTGGGTAATAGAAAAATATGCTCCTACGTTAAGGTGCCAAAGATACTTTTTGCTAATATGTTCTTCCCAGAGATAGAATTGGCCAGCAGGGCAGAAGAGACACACTGTCTCCCTTTCTCTCCTTTTTTGATTTTTAGCTGTGAAATTTGTGAAAATTTTAAACAGTGGCATCGGACGTTTATTGTTTTTAATGTTTTATTTCTGAGAGAGAGAGAGAGAGAGAGAGAGAGACAGCATGAGGACGGGAGGGTCAGAGAGAGAGGGAGACACAGAATCTGAAGCAGGCTCCAGGCTCCGAGCTAGCTGTCAGCACAGAGCCCGACGTGGAGCTTGAACCCACGAACCCTAAGATCATGACCTGAGCTGAAGTCAGACGTTTAACTGACTGAGCCACCCGGGTTCCCCGGCGTTGGACGTTTATACACTTGAAACATATGTTACTGGCTCCTTGTCAGTTTGAGGCCTTCCACCTACACGCTTACAAAGTGGAAACCAGTTAAAACTTAGGCTTGTCTGTTTGAAGCTTAAATTTAGCCACTTATTAGTGAAAGGTTGTAAACAGGAATCTAGAAGCAGAGTGGGTATCATTCATGTTTTCTCTAGAAGTGACAATGATCATTTATTTTTTTGGTTTTCCAGGAATAAAGTGGCAACCTGGGCCAGAATCCTGAAGGCTCATACTAGATTAGAAGCCTTTTTTCCTTAAGGAAGAAACTAGTATTGTTATTCTATATTAGACATAATATAGACTATATTGCATATTATGTATAATGTATACATCTAAATATATAATTTAAAATAGAGAAAACAATATAATTTTATACTTTATTATTTGATGTATGTTAATTAGAAGTGTAAAATAGCATATCAGCAATATGGAATTATATATGATCATATAAAATACTAACTTTGAAAAGTTGTCCAGTTTTAGAAGTTAAGAGCCAATTTTATTGGTGTATTCAGTAAACTTATGTGGAAGAAAGCTTTACTCTTGGAGGCAGAAACCAGATTTAATGTTGCCTCTGGGTTTATTGTTATATGACTTTGGGTGAGGCCTGCACTAATGTCACTGTAGCCACCTGTCCTGTGGGTGTAACGCTGCTTCTGGGCGGTCAGGGGTGAGCTTGCAGGGGAGAACGTAAGGGAGGAGCTTAGCACCAGGCACCTGTGGGTGACCTGGGACCAACTTTCCTTACTTTCTCTAATGCCGTACCCTGTTAATTAAAAAAGTAAAATGAAAGTACAAAAGATTTATGAGAAATTATTTCAACTGTTAATTCAACTCATGAAGGCCCTGTGCATTTGAGAAGGTGAACTTTGCTTTTAGGAAGCCGTATAAGGCAGCATTTTATAATATTTGTAGAGTGTTTACAAGCAAAAATGCTGTTTGAATTATATTCATGTTGAGGACTTAGTGACAGTTTCTGCCTAAGAAAGATTTAGTTTAACAAAGTGGAGAGAAAGTTTCACTTTCGTAAACATATTCTCTCCCTCTTTCTAGGATTCACTTTGCCATCAGGGCTAAACACTCTGCTCTTTCTTTTGTATTTCATTGGTGGCCTGAAATTTCCGTTTTAATTTTTTGCTTAAAATTTCAAGAATAGTATGGCAATGCCTTTGGCTAAGGGAAATGAAGTCATAATCCATTTTGAATTCTATTTCAGGGATAGGAAGCACTAATGAACTACTATAAACATAGCTATCAGGAACCTAAATTCAAGTATTCACATTAACTCCTGAAAATAAATAGCTATTTGGCAATTTCCTATCCCCGGGAAAGCTCTGTAGAGTGTTTTCCGTGTATATCGAATACTACATTAAAATGCTCGTCACAGTGACAAACATATAAATATGTTGTGGGGAAACACTGCCCTGTGTTTTGAATGGTGGGTTTTTTTCTGTGTCCAACCCACAACAAGATATACTTCATATATGGACAGTTTAGGAATTTAAATAATAACACCAGCAGGATTCTGGTGTAAAGATCATAGAATAGAAACTCTACTGACATGTCTCCAGGTTCCTGATAATGACAGCATCTTGGTGGTAATCCTGTTAAAGCTTCATGGAGACTAAGATTCTCTGCCAGATTATGTGTGAAACAAGTATATAGGTACAAATGCCATTTAGCCATTAGCTAGGTTCTCCAATGAAGTCTATAAATGCATTCTACACCCAAAAGGCCAAAGATTTTCAAGTTAATGTTTGCCTTTTTTTTTTTTTTTTGAAACTGGATCTGTCACGTAGACCACCAGAATACACGCATTATAAATAAAGCCAGGCATTGCTTCTCACCGATTGAGATATTTTTAAAACTGCTGATGGTATAGGGCTCACAGATGAATTCCCTTGTCCAAGGTGATGGAGCACCACCTAAAAGAGTCCTGGGTGACGCCTGCCTGACCTCTGATAGTTGGTAGGCTCCCTCCCTACTGGAGAATGCATTCTTTGCCACCTTCTCACCTTTAGGAATCCCTGTGTTTCTAAGAGACCTAAGGCTTGTAAGGGAGTTTGCCTGCCAGCATAATCCAGTCCCCTGGGGTCTCACAGCCCCAGTCAGAGTTGCGGCTGGCAAAAGTCGAGTGCACCTCCCCTCCGTCTCCTCTCCTCCCGCCTTGCTCTGGGGCTTTCTTGCCTAGACTCTTGCCACAGCTGCTAACTGCTCTCCCTGGTCCCACCCTTGCCCCTTCACTTGGAGCCCAGAGTGCTCTCTCTTCTTAAAGTATCAAGAAGACCTTATCATTCCTCATCTCAAATGCTCCGTTGCATTTAAATAAAATTCACCTGCATAAAGTGGCTTACCAAGAAAGACCCTTACCGTCTGGCCCCAACTCACATTTTCTCCTGTGTGGGGTGCCATTCTTCCTGCACCTGTTGGGCCCCAGCTATACCTCCACCTTCTTTTCAGTTCTTGACCACCCCAACACAGTTTGTCCTTAGGGCCCAGACAGTAGTCTTTCTGGAAGGTATTATCCCAACTCCTGTATCCTCACAGGGTAGATTGTTCACGATACTGGAATATTGACTTAAATATCCTATTCTTGGAGGGCACCCAAGTCAGTTAACTGTCCAACTTTAGCTCAGGTCATGATCTCACAGTCCATGAGTTAGAGCCTGCTTCTGATTCTGTGTCTCCCTCTCTCTCTTCTCTCCCCATCTCATGATCTCTCAAAAATAATAAATGTTAAAATCTATACATTTATATATATAATATATGTATTTCCTCTTCTTGGAGAAGCCTCCCTAACCACCCAATGTAAGCAGCCATCCATCTGCTTTTTTTTAAAGTTTATTTATTTTGAGATAGAGAAAGAATGTGGGGGGGCGGTAGAGAGAGAGAGAGAGAGAGAGAGAGAGAATCTCAAGCAAGCTGTAAACTGTCAGCACAGAGCCTGACTCGGGGCTCAAACTCATGAACCCATCTACTTTAGATTGGATGATCTAGGGGTGCCTGGGTGGCTCAGTCGGTTGAGCTTCCGACTTCGGCTCAGGTCATGATCTCGCGGTTTGTGAGTTCAAGCCCCATGTTGGGCTCTGTGCTGACAGCTCAGAGCCTGGAGCCTCCTTCAGATTCTATGTCTCCCCCCTCTCTGCCCCTCCCATGCTTCTGCTCTGTCTCTCTCTGTCTCTCAATAATAAATAAAAATGTTTTAAAAAATTAGATTGGATGATCTAATAACATCTATCTGTAGCTGACTGTGTTTCTTTTTGCCCTTCAGTTAGAACATAGGCTCCATTAGCGCAGAGACGCATTTGTCTTTATCTGATGTTCCCCAGGCCTCAGAACAGCTATTCAGGAAATGTTTGTTGAGCAAATGTATTAATGGGCGAAGAAATGATGTAGGCAGTATTTCTAACCTTAACTGATACATTTCCAGCCAAAAGTAAAGACACTTGGTTCACGTGAGCAGCCCTGTCATTGCCATGAATGTACCCTTTCCTTTAAAATCTCACAACTCCCAGACCAAAGGTTCTCTTTCCCAGTTTTGGAGCTCAGGAGACCCTGTTTGGGAACTTGATTGCGTTTATCAGAGTGGTTATAGTGCAGTAACCACAGTGGCTCCTCTTCCACTCTATTGATTTAATTTGCAAGTGGTTTGTCCCCTCAGGAACCTGTGTCTCCTACTGTTTGTGTTGTTACTGAACTCTGTTAAAGGCCCTTCACTAACACAAGCCCCCATATATATAGCAGTCAGCTGCTTTCTTGGCCTGTTGAAATGTATGTGGGGACTTCTGGGAACAACCAAATATTCTTGGTGTTTCAAGGGTATGTGGGATTTTGTACCCTGGTGTTTGGCACCAGTTGGATTAGGATATATGAATACATATTGATAAGGTGGTCACTTACATAATCATAAACACCCTCTCTGTGTTCTAAACCGCATTTGTTAATATTTCTGCTCACACTTAGCACTAAACATTTTTGAGCTTGAAAAGCTAAAAGCTTACCAAAAATAAACCAGGTTTTTTTTCAACATCTTACCTGTTTCCTTCAGCCCTTTCATATTATCTGGGTAAAGTGTAGCTTCAGTGAAATAAAACCCTAATTGACTCAGTTAATGAAGCCTTCAGGTGACCTTGCAGGGGTGGGGAGGGTGGGAGGTTGACTTCCTTGCTGGGGTGCCCAGATCACCTGCCCTGTTTGCGTTGTGCCCTTGGGGCCAGTCAGGAGGCTCAGTATCTGTCTTCTTTGATCTTAAAGGACAATATTTCCTTAGATTTCATGCTGTTAATACAACAGTATCTCTGGCCCCCAGGAATCCTAGAATTTCAGAATTTTGGAACACCAGAGCAGATACATTCCACTGAGGTCACAGAGCCTGTGGCGGACTTGAAGATGGTTTGTGTCCTCCTGCCCCCCGCAGGGTGCCTCTTCTGCACTTTGATTTATCCCTGATTCCCCGTTTATCTCCCTGAAGTAGCCCCGTGATTTTTACAAAGCTCAAAGCTAGCCCTTTCACTTGGGACAGAAGGTTAATGATTATTTTTCCATCAAACTAGGGTTATTTCCTGTGGAAACCCTCTCCGCCGCCTCAGACTTGTTGAAAGCCCTCTTCTCGCATCCTGAGCGCTGTGGTTGGTTTGCTTCATAGGGTCACCATCAGAATGTACCCTCCTTAAAACAGGAGACTGTGGCCTTTTGTTGTTGTTGTTCGTGTTTTTTAAATTCCCAACTCTGAATTGTAGATGTACAGCGCTGTTGAGAAATCTGTCTCCATTTCAGTGGATCTGGGTACTCTGCAGGTTCACAGTGGTAATTGCGAAAGTAATTTTTGAATGATTGTGTCATTTTCATTAAAACAAAAATCCAGCCTTCTGCTTCTATAATCTTGAAGTCCGCCAATGCCATAGGAGTTGGCATATTGGCTTATAAGAGTTGAGGTGGGTATGGCCAAAAAGCTTGTTTAAAGAAAAACTACCCATCATCCCTGTTGCTAGTCAGAAACACTTAGCATCTCAATTCTCTGTTGTCAGGTTGTCATAGGAAGATCTTTTGTAATGACCAGGTCCTTGAATTCCCTTGTTCCGTGCTTTGAGTAATTGGTCCATGGCTGCCCCATCAAGGCCTCCTTGCTTTGTTGATTTGGTCTAGTTTTGAGCTGAAATAATGAAAGAGTCCAGCCGACCCCTTCTGATGTTAGTCATCCTTGTGGCCGCCAGAGTGGTCTCTGTAATGCCATAGAGTCTCCTTAGCGGGATCAGACAGCCTCGCAGGACCTGACCTCTGCCCCACTTGTCCCTTGCCCATCGCCACACCCCCCCCCCCTTATGTTCCGGCCGCAGCAGACGTCATGTTCCCACACAAGTAAGTGCACTTGATTTTCACACTGCCCTGCCCTTGACTGACTGATAACCTCCACATAGAACTCTCTGCTGTCTTCCTTCTTTGCATACAACTCGAGGTGCAGGAGCCTGGCATGAAGCAGATTGAGTGGGGGGCAAGAAGAGGGGTGCTGTTCCAGTTCCTGGCATGAACAGCTGGACACATAGAAATCCACCTACTACTGAGACGGGGTAGACTGCTGTAGAGCAGATGGGGGCTGGGAGCGAGGGGGCATCAAAGGTTTGGATAGAGAAGTGTTCAGTTGGGGTGCTGAGATTTCCAGGTAAGAGAGGTGGAAAGTCGAGTTGTATATATGGATCTGTAGCTCAGAGAGGTCCCAAACTGAGGACCTTCTATCTGGGAGTTCTTATATTTGAAATGAAGTAGAGGAGCTCTCCAAGGAAGAGGGTTTGGAGAGTGTGAGGACTCCTAGAGAGTTATCAAGTTGAGAAAGAGAAAATGAGAAACAAGCCATGAAGAAGCAAAGGGAGATGAGAAGGAGGTGCCAGAACAGGCAGAAGGAAAAATCAAGAGAGTGTCCAAAACACAGAGAGTTCAAAGATGAGAAGGGATGTCCTCTTCACCTGGGATTTATTGGCTTGTAGGGAGGTAAGTTGTGCTGGAATAATGGGGGACACTCTGAAGAGTGAGTGGGAAGGGAGGCTTCGGTCAATGTGAGAAGCCAGTTCCTTCCATAAGCATGGCTGTAAAGGATGGTGAGGAGCTTGGGACCATACTGGAGGGGAAAGATGAGGGCTGTAGTGGGGGCGGGGAGGGGGGCGGGCAAGAGCAGGCTGATGTGCTTTCCTTGTGGCTGTTGTTTTGGTTTTTTCGTTTGTTTGTTTTTTGTGTCTGACAATGGTTGGTTGAGGGCTTTTATTTTTTCCTCTTTTTCTAATGCAAATAAGCAGAATCCTGCAGAAGTGCCCTGGGGATATTACTGTCTACCGTCCCCTCATAGTTGAGGGTGGGTACTATTTCATTCCCACAAACATTGATGTTTATAAAGTTCTACAGGCCTCTCTTCTCCCATGAACTTATACTTGAAAGAGAAGACGAAAAAAAACCTTGCTTTATTAAAAAAATTTGTCCATTTTAGTCTTCTATCCCTGAAAACAGGTAAATGGTATGAAGGCTTTTTGTTTTTTGTTTTTAACAAAGTGCTGGATTATTCAGTAGGAATCCTGCTTCATGCACGTAAATGACATTGCACATTTTCCTGTTCTAAGTCCTGGCTAGGTCAGTGTCTTTTAGCATGACTGAATTTTCCTATCTGCAAGGGAGGGAGGTACATTTGAATAGGGAAGCTAATTAAGCAGTCAGGAGACAGAGATTTTAAAATGCTCCTTCTAAAAGTGGAGAAGATGAGGACAAACTGACTTTTTTTCTTCCATGGAATCGAAAATTAGAGCTGCAGAGGGACAAAGCCATGGCCACTTTTTATAGGTGGATTGGGACTGGGGATTGGAACGATGGCTTCATATAGACCTGCACACTGCCTTCTTTGAAGCTCATCCCCATTTCCTTTGGTGTCATTTACTAAATCTTTCCCTGAGAGAGGCATATTGAATACAATTCACATTTCATGAAAAGATAGAGGACCCTTCTTGCCATCCTGTGGAAATATGGAATGAAAGTCCTTTCCCAGCTTTTAGGATTCGGAGTTTCTAGCCATCCAAGCGTTTTTTTAGCTTAAGCAAAATAGCAGATAAGGTAAATTTGGTTTAAAGAAAGGGTGGAGTGTCGCCAAAGCATTTTGTATCCCTTTCCATTTGGAATTGCAAGTGCTGGTGTTTACTTTCAGTAACGGAAATAATTGACAGCTACGTTTAGTCCCAAGTAAATGTATCAGAAGGGAAGGGAGCATTGGAAAATAGTGGCCTTTAGTGATTTGGAAAGGGTAATGTTCAATTTTAAGTGGAAAGGGGCATCCAAGAAAGCAAGGGGTTAAGTGTAAGAAAGAAAAACGAAAGCAATGCAAATCTCCTTCAGATCTACTTGGAGGAAATGCTTTGGCACTTGGGTACAAGACTAGAAGTACACGCTGTCAAGTTATGAAAACAATGAGTTAAAGTTAAAAGTACTATATTTAGATGCTTGCACTTTTAATTGTTTGCAATTTAAAAATCAGGTTATCACTCACTTATATTGGCAGGTGGGTAGGGAAGAAGACTTCAAAATTTTGAAACTGAAATTGATGCAGGCTGCCAGTGCTGTTTACTCACACATACAGGACAGATCTACGTGCTTTCAGATATGTGGAATTACATATTCTCGTGAGATTCCAGAACAAAAATGCCTTGCATTTTTAAGGTTTATTACTTTACTGTCTCCCTGCAGCAATGAAAATTTTCTTGTAGTTAGTCAAGAAACAGCAATGATTTTCTTTCATTATCTTCTGCATGTAGTTCTGGCGAAAATCAGATACTTACACATTGACAAGTTCCTAGAAGTTTATTTAAGGTTTGAGGGTCTGTGATTTGTGTGATCCATGACAGGTCAAGTATTACATGGTATATTCGTGGAAATCTAGAAAGTAATGGTAGGTTATGTTATAATTGAAATGGTTGATAGGTGGCTGCTGGGTTCTATCCATTTTGTATTTTTATTCGGCTTCTGTATACCTGGCTCTCTGCCTTGGGGACAAGTCACGAAATCACAGAGAATGACAGGTCTCAAAATGGTTTCATGGGGGCGCCTGGGTGGCTTAGTCGGTTAAGCGTCAGACTTTTGCTTAGGTCATGATCTCGCGGTTCGTGGGTTTGAGTTCGTGGGTTTGAGCCCTGCGTCGGGCTCTGTGCTGACTGCCAGCTCAGAGCCTGGAGCCTATTTCGGAGTCTGTATCTCCCTCTCTCTCTGACCCTCCCCTGCTCACGCTCGCTCTCTCTCTCTCTCTCTCTCTCCTAGAAATAAAAATTTTAAAAAAATGGTTTCATGACCAGAATAATAAAACTGAAATTCAAAATTGGGATGTGCCTGTACTAATTTTTCCTTTTTAGTTCACATATACAAGGGGCGAAGGCCATGTATTTGGAAAGGTAACTATTTTAACACATATTGGACAATTTAAAAAATTTTTTTGAGGGAGAGAAAAGGAGACAGGGGATCTGAAGTGGGCTCTGTGCTGACAGCAGAGAGCACGAAGCAGGGACACAGGGCTCGAACTCACAACTCACAAACTGCGAGATCATACCTGACCTGGGATGCTCAACCGACTGAGCCACCCAGGTGCCCGGTGGACAACTTTTTAAAGCTTAGAGTGCATTGATACATCCACCCCAGTGGAGTCTGTACTTCCATTACGTGTTTGTAAAAACTAGTTATATTTATAAAGACAAGGAAGCTGAAAGAAGATGGTGATAGAGGTGACAGACTTGTTGGCTTAAACTATAAGAAGATCTGAAGTTTTGTACCTTTCACTTCCCTCCACCTTCACTTCCCCACGCCCACCACCCTAGGTCATTGCTAATTTCTAGGCTGAACCCTTTGTTTTGTGGAAGAGGAAGCAGGAGACTAAAGAAATTAAGTCAGTCACCCAGGCTCACACAGTGACAACTTATTTGCTCCTAATTACTTTCATGTATTAGATCTATAAAGATTATACATAGATTTGAAAATGAAATGAACTAAAATGATTATATTTTGAGATACAGTTCTGGTTCTGCTTCTGTAACCATTTTGACTTCTAATTATTAAGTTATAGTTATTATTTGCTGAAACACACATAAGAGAGAATCTTAAATATACTCATAGAAAATAGAAGATACTGAAGGTATCTTTTTTTTTTTTTTTTTTTAATGCACAAGTAGGAGAGAAGGGCAGAGGGAGAGAGGGAGAGAAAATATTAATCAGGCTCCACACTTAGCATGGAGGCCAACTCTGGGCTTGATCCCATGACCCTGGGATCTTGACCTGAGCCGAAATCAAGATTCAGCACTCCAGCAACTGAGCTACCCAGGCGCCCCTTAAAAATGATTTATATGCAAAAACACCCTGTCTAGGAAGAAAATTAGGCATCTTTTTATATGCACTTTTTCTAGTAGTTGTTTGTGTTTTGTTAATTTTGTGATCCAGTGACTTTTTGGTTTCTCTTCTAGAGGTTTTCTAAACCACCTAAACATTTTCTTTTTTGAGTTTTTGAAAAACCCTTTGGTCTCCTGGTAAAAGCATTAGCGTGTGAGCAGACCAATAATATCTATTACCTTGTAGGGAGATGTCAGTTCTGAACATTGTAACTGCGTTCTGTTTTGCATTAAACCTGGAAATACCTACTTTTTCGTCACTTGAGATATTTTACGATGGTTAAAGACTATAAGAGTTATTACACATTTACATAGGCAGATATAATAATGGGGTCGATTTTATTAGTTATTCTTCAAAAAATTATTGAAATACCTAGTATGTCCTAGGGCACTATGTTAGTACTGGGTATATTGGGGTATAAGCACACCTGTTTCCCATTCAGGAGTACGTTGGAAGGAAGTCAGTGGAGGGTTTGAATAAGCATTAAATCTGATAAGTTATAGGCAAGAAACCATAACCACATGTAGAATAACTGTATAAAATGGGAATGCCTCTCTCAGGTGACATTTGGGGAATGGGGAAGCTGGTCACTTTAAGGACAGAGGAAAGAACGGTCTCACAGAGAACAGCATGCCTAAAAAACCTGGAGGCACAAAACTTTGCTGGGCATTGCAAACCAAAAGGTGATCCCTTGGCTGGATCATAGTGGGGGAGGGGGAGGCAGTGCCTCTGGACCGGGATAGGGTGTGGAGTCCTAGGCTTGAAGGCCATGGCAGTTATGAGTTCAGATTTTTCTTTGCACATTGGGAAGCTATTAACAGGAGTGATAGGAATACATTTATGTTTTATGAAGATCTGACTTAGACAGAGGTGGGCAGGAATCGACAGGGAAGAGGAGGTTCTTAAGGAGTTCAGGAAAGAAAGGATAGTTTGCATAGTGGCAGGGGGCCAATTCAAGACATATTTTGGAAACAGGTTTTTATGTAGGTATTTGAATATCTACGTTTAAAACTATATATCTTGCAAAAGGTTAGATAGGGAAGGTAAGGAAAAAGAAATGTCAAGGTTGACTTGTGGAATTCTGGCTTGAAGGAATGGCATTGCCATTTTTGGGGGTGAGGAGGGAGAGCGTGGGGAGGAACAGATTTGGAAAAGGAAAATCAATAGATACTTATGAGCTATCAGTAAGGAGTGTCAAGTGGGCATCTGCACCTTTAACCTCAGAGGTTCAGACCAGAGTTACGAATGCATGAGCAGTTGGCTTCTAGGAAGTATTTAAAGCCCCAGGAAAGCATATCGTTAGCTGGAGAGAAAATGTAAAGGGAGGGGAGAGCCAGAAGGTGTTTTCCAGGAGATTCCTACATGTAGAGGTTGGATAAGAAGTTGCCCATAAAAGAGAATGAGAGGGTGTAGCCTGAGAGATAGGAGAAAGGCAGAGGGTGTGGTGCATGCTGAATCCCAAGAGAAGGAAATGCTGACAAGGAAAGTCTTATCACCCTGGCGGGGGCTGCTAAGAAATCAAACTTGGTGAGGACAAGAGTGGGTAAGAGGTCATGGCATCGGCCACCCCAGTGGAGTCAGACTGCAGTGGTTGCAGGGAGAGGGGAAGGGAAAGGAGGAGGCGACAGTAAGGGTCAGCAACATTTTTTTGAGAAGCTAGGAGTGGAAAGCAGAGAAATATGGTCGTAGCTGATGGAGGACATGAGATTGAGGGAAAGCTACTTTGTTTTACTGACATGGGAACTGCTGGAGTATGACTGTATTTTAGTAGAATTTTAGTCCGAAGAATATGTATTAGATTGGCCCTGAGCTAGCATACTCAGATTCAAAGAAGACAGAAGTGGATTTCTGCCTCACAGAACAATCCAGAGCAACTGAGCCAAGCTCCATGAGTTTGTCCAGGGGCCCAGGTTGGATGGGGCAGCTCTGGAGTCCTTCTGAATTTGAGGCCTCCATGACTGAGTGTGTGGTGATCGTGTCCACATTTTTTTCTAGCCAAAGAGAAAAGGAAACCTAGAGCAAGGGCCCTTGCTTTTATGAAAATGACCTAAACATTTTGAATACATATTCTCTCTTTTTCCATTGGTCCAGACTTCTTCACATGGCCTCAATTAATTGTGGTCTCAAGCTGGGTGGAGGAGTACCAGCTAAAACAAAGTTTAATTATGAAAAGAAAGATGGAGAACATGGATTCTGAGAAGAATCCATTTCTGCCACTCCTTGGGGTAAGGAGGAGAGTTACATGTTTATTTCTATTTCTAATGTATTTTTTAATTTATTTCTGAGAGAGAGACAGTGTGAGCAGAGGAGGGTCAGAGAGAGAGGGAAACATAGAATCTGAAGCAGGCTCCAGGCTCTTAGCTAGCTGTCAGCACAGAGCCCAACACGGGGCTTGAACCAACGAACCGTGAGATCATGACCTGAGTTGAAGTCAGATGCTTAACCGACTGAGTCACCCAGGCACCCCTCTATTTCTAAACCATGGACAGTGCTTGACTTCTTTTTGGTACTTAATAAGTGGTCCGTGAATTGAACTATTAAAATTAATCTTTCCCCTTCTAAAAGGTAGACTTTGTCGGTTCTGAGTTACACAATGCCATCACCTTTCTTCCTCCTCCACTCTTTTCTGTAGATTTAATGCTTTCTAGTAAAAGCATACAAAAGAGTATATACTATTTACTCAGATTTGCTTAAAAATCTAAAATGTAATGTAAGAGGCAGGAAAGAAATTGGATAGTTTTATTTGGATTACTGTCTTGTTCTGTGTTTGGTCTTGATATTTACATATGCTTCGGGCAACTGAGCACATGCCAAGCCAACGTGTCTCTTATGCAACAGGACGGATAGCTGCCGATTGTAAAAAGGAACCCTAAATAGAAAGCATGGATGTAGTATTTTGTTTGTAACATAGATTTGTATTTGCATGTTCCCGCTTCTTCAAATTATTAAACCTATTCCGGTGCGTAGTGTGAAGATAGGAACTCCATGGTGATTTACTATGGAGTAGTATTTTGTATACTTCTGTATTACACTAATGAGCATATCATTTGCTTACAGTATTATATGAGCCCTTTGGCTCCTGATGTTTTTACCATAAAATTAGAATCAGGAAGGGAAATTACAGGACAGTCTGTGATATTTGTTTTTGACATATTTACCACACACCTAAGAAATTAGCTAAAACAACATGGTAGCCACTGGCATAGTACCTCTCTTGCTGCTTAGAGCAGAAAATTGCTTTAAACATAGTGGTGTGCCCCTTAGTAAGAGGAAGAAGTAAGCACAGAAAGTAAGTTCTTTGGATACGGTCATGTTCACCTCCCTCATTTGGTAGATGTAGAAACCAAGGCACAAAATATTTGACTAGCAAACCATTACAAGATGGTAGTTCTATCTTTTTTTAGTTTCTATTTATTTTGAGAGTGAGAGAGAGAGAGAGAGAGAGAGAGAGAACAGTGGGGGAGGGGCAGAGAGAGATGAGGACAGAAGATCTGAAGCGGGCTCTGTGCTGACAGCAGAGAGTCCAATGTGGGGCTCAAACACAAGCACTGTGAGATCATGACCTGAGTTGAAGTTGAGTGCTTAACCCACTGAGCCACCCAGGCGCCCTGATGGTAGTTATGTTTCAGTAGGTGTCCTTGGGTGTGAGAGCAGATTATATATCTTATTATAGTAAGACCTGTTGTTTGAGCCCCCTAAAGGCTGAGACAGACTTCGTTTTCAGCACTCAGGGGAAGGAGAAAGCCAGGAAGAAGCAGTGAATTTTCACTCGTGAAGGAGGGAGGGGTGAGGCTGTCCAGTCTCCCTCCAGCCCCGATCAGGGCTTGTCCAGGGTGGGACACCTTCCATGTCACCAAGGAAGCCTCTGGCATAGGTGTCATTGTTCATTCAAACTGGGATCCCAGGGTTCTGAGAATCAGGGAAGAGGCATTTGCTCATGGAAGAATGGATAGATTCAGGAGTTCTGGAGGCAGAGCAGGGGTGCTGCCTAGAGATGGGAAGGCAGACGGAATGAGAAAGAATATCCGCTTCCATTATTAGGTCATCCTTCCCAGAGATTAAAATATAGACCCAGCTGATGCAGCAGATTCATTTTTCTGAAATTAAATGTATCTCAGTTATGTAATTATTGTGACAGTACTTTAATGTCATTGTACGGCCATCTGTGGCAAAAATCTAATAGGAACAAAACCTGTGATCATTACAAATAAATGTTGGCTTCTTGTTCAGTGTCAATTATGAACCATTCACAGGCACCCGTCTTTGTGGTGAATTCAAGTCGCCTGTTAGGTATGTGCAGTAGGATTGTGTTCTGATCCCAGGGGTGTCCCTGTCTTTACAAAAGGGGCTCTGGACCGGCCTTCCGGGGAGCATCCCCGCTCTCTGCCTAGAGAGGGCAATTGCACCAAGTGATGAGACCTCGCCATTTTCTGTTTGCAGAACAATCAACCATGACGACCGAATCCGGCTCAGACTCGGAATCCAAGCCGGAGCAGGAGGCCGAGCCCCAGGAGGCGGCGGGGGCACAGGGGGCACAGGGGCACGCGGCGGGGGCGCAGCCGGGACCTGGGCCGGAGCCCAGTGGAGAGGACCAGCAGCAGGCCCTGGAACAGTTCGAGGCCGCGGCACACAGCACCCCCGTGAGGAAGGAGGTGAGTGAGCCCCGGGGCCACCTGCTCCCCCACACCCCAGAGCCTCACCCACAAAACCAGTCAGGGAATGTTGACTCCCCTTTCCGGGGTCTGGGCCCACCCTGGTCTCTTAGCACTGCAGGGAACTATGAGGGGTCATCGTTTCCCCCTTCTGGTCCCAGGCAGATGGGAAGTTTTTGTTATTTTAAGACTTTGAATGACATTCTACAGTCTTGCTTGGTAACTCCTTCATTTGATCAAAGCACTTAAACCCACACCGAAATCTGGACTGCAGGTTATTGGCTTAATCTGGGTTTACAGGAAGGACAGACACCACACCAGTGGCTTTAATTTGGCTCCTGATGTTTATTCAGGCCTACGGGTTAGAGCTAATTTGATTCTTCCCGGGGGCGGGGGGGTGGGGGGTCACTCTGATCCTAAGGCTGCCAGCTACGTTTAGTGGATGTTCGGAGGTGGGTCTTTCCCCCTCTCCCATGTGTATGTATGTTCACTTCTATTACCAAAATAGACATATTTAAGTTGCCACATGTGGTGTGAATATTTCTTTTAAAAGCTTTCATGCAAGTTATAAAGCATGGTTTATACTTGGGCTTTGAATGAATCCATGTTTAAATTATTTTGGCTTAAAACTTCAAACCTGAAATCAGCAGGTGTTAGAATACTGTTTCATGTGGTAAGCAAACCCGGGCATTCCTGCAAACAATTGGCCTTTTCTAGGTTGGAAGTACATGTATCAGGCTAGAAATTCTAGATGTTGAGAGAAGGGACGAAATTCTTTGCAAGGCGCAACACATTATTATAACCTCAAACTATGTTTGCATCCTGATTATTTCTTTTCCCATGCTCCTTAAGTTCTGCCTTTAAACAGTATTAAGAATAGCATTTATTGGAACGCTTAGATGGCTCAGTTGGTTGAGTGACTTTGGCTGAGGGCACGATCTCACAGTTCGTGGGTTCGAGCCCCTTGTTGGGCTCTGTGCTGACAGCTCAGAGCCTGAAGCCTGGTTCCAATTCTGTGTCTCCCTCTCTCTCTGCTCCTCCCCAGCTCACACTCTGTCTTGATCTCTCTCATAAATAAATATTTAAAAAATTTTTTTAAGTTTATTTTCATGCTCTGTAAATAGATTCTGTGTCTGATCTAAGCCGTTTCATGATGCGGAGCTGGGTTCTGACTTAAGGGACTTAAGGAGCTGTTCTTGTTCTCATGGTTTTCCTTTACCGTCTCTCTCTTTTTTTTTTCTTTTTTTGGAGATGTGATGATGGTGATGTTTTGATTGTTTTTAAACCTTCAGAAATGTCAAATTATTAAGACTGGATTTTTTCCCCATTCTTTCCTCCTAACTCTGAAATGAAATAAATGTGAGAGTGGGAAATAATGATAGAGAAGGAAGAATTTCTGTGCCTGGATGTGATACATGTACTTGATCTTTTGAAAGTCAGATGTTTGAAACAAAATAAGAGATAATACTAAGCCCTTGGAGGGAGAGGTAACTGGTGGTGGAGTCCTGAGAACTAGTAAATCCTGGCTCTTCCCTCGTGATTTTAGTGACCTCCGAGAACTTGTCAGGTCTCTGCACCTCAGCTTCCTCATTCACAAAATGAAAAAAGAGATCAGAAAAGATGGTTTTCTCCTGTTCTCTACCCTCACTTTCTTTGATTGATACCAGGAGCCCCAGTTATACACTAGAGGTAAAATGAAGTATGTTTTGGTCGTCAGCGACAATTAAATCATGGGCTTGGCGGGATTTGTATTGCAGGCTTGTGGTTTTATGACCTGGAGGAAGTTTGTTGAGGTTGTGTCCTGTACCCCTTCCTGTCTTCACGTGCCACTGAGGGTGGTGGTACCCACACACCTACCTCCCAGAGCTGTCACGAGGATTAAGTGAAACAGGATATGCCAAAAGGGGTTTCACTGATATTTTTAAATCGTAATGCATTATGTGTGACTACAGCGGACGTTTCATTTGAGGTCCCTGGTCTGCTCGTCTTGAAGTTAACGTTGTTGAAAAAAATGGGCGTGGGAGACTCCATGATGGGTGCGTGGAAACGACCCCTGGAAACAACAGCTCCCTTTGCACATTGGTGGTTTCAGGTGCGTCTGGAGTTGACCGATAAGTAGCCCAGAAAGCTTTTTCTCATCTACTTTTATTAGAGGAAAAATGAAATTTCACCTTTCCTAATAGATCAAAAAAGTTGATTCCAGGTAGTGAAATTTAAATAAAAACGTAGCTTCTGTTGACTTTGCCTTTGCTGAGATGAAAATGTAAATTAAAAGTGTGATGTGTAAGTGTAAGTTATAAAGCACTGAGCAAATAAGTGATATAAAATTCCAAGGTTACCAGACTTCTTCAACTGGCCTAAGGCCAAAATTAATGTTTGACTTTTTTATGACACTATTTTAATGCTTTGATAGGGAAGACTAACAGTCAAAAAAAAAAAAAAAAAAGTTGGACCAAGTTGCCAGAGCCTCCAGGTTTTCTTACATTTACTTGTTCAGCTACGGCTAGCTTCTCAACTCTTTGGGCCTTTGAAGTTGGTTTTTCACATTTTTCTTGGTCTCTTCGCTCAGCAAAGGGGGGTGTCTTTTTATCCTGAAGAACTTCTCACAACTTTCCTGAATTCCTATGCAAGGTAGTAGAGGAAAGGACTTAATTTATAATCTCCTGGATGGAAAACCAGATGGAAGATGCCATTTCAAAAGCAGAAATCCATACCTAAAACTCAAAATAAATAACAGCGAAAGATAACTTTGTGATTACAGTGTCCAAGAATGGTAGCCACTAAAAAAAAAAAAAAAAAAAAGAAAAAGAAAGAAAAGTTGAAGTGATAAGCCATCATTCCTGCCTTACTTACTGCCCAGGCCATGTGCTTTGAGCTACTAAGATAATAGTATGTTCATGAGAGAAGAAATTTCATGCTTACTCAACGGGCCTAACCCGAATTTTGGAACATGTCTGTCTTTGCACTGTCAGTGTGTATTTGCAGACTAGTGGAAATGATAGTCTGGCCCCTGAGTTGAATTTGCACTAATACCATTGGTGGTTTTGAATAGAAAAGGACATTGTGTGGTGACAGATGGCAGCTACACTGGTGAGCACAGCATAACATATAGAATTGTTTGATCACTGTTCTGAACACATAACACTATTGTATGTCAACTATACTTCATTAAAACATACGTATCTAAACACATGCACACATACATAAAGAAGAAGGGTGTGAATAGAAGAGCTGTACAGAAAGATTTCCCTGGGGACTGATTCAGAGGAGAATTTAACTGTTGCACAGGAGGTCCTCTGCAGTTTTGAGTCTAGTGTGGACCACACCGTTGTCCTTTGAAAGCAGATTAAAGCTTTTGGACAGATTTGATCTGCTTTTACACTGGCTCATTACAGTGAGGGGGGAAACAGACTAAGGGGATTACTTTGTGATGAATTTCAGTGCTGCTGGCTTCATTGAATTGATTTAGAGCTAAATCAAATATTTTAACAGTTGTAAAATTACTGAGAAGTTTAATACTTGAAACTCTTGAGGCCTTAAAGTTTATAAGATACCATGTATGTATATGGGGCACCGTGGGTCATGGAATAGAGAAGGATCCAGTAAATGAAAAAAATAGAGTATAGTTAGATAAAATCTAAATGATTTATTTTAATGTTTACTTTAATTTTGAGAGACAGAGTGTGAACAGGGGGAGGGGCAGAGAGGGAGACACAAAATCCGAAGCAGGCTCCAGGCTGTCAGCACAGAGCCCGACACAGGGCCTGAGCCCACTAACCATGAGACAGAGCTGGACACTTAACAGACTGAATCACCCAGGCACCCCTAAATGATTTATTTTAAAGATCTGTACTACCTAATGTATTGTGAAATAAATCAGGAGTCCATTTGTAACGTCCTTTCCTTAGTGAAGTCTCGATGGCATTTGCGAATTTGGTGCTTCTAAATTAAATCCTCGAGTCAAACTGAAATGAAGCCCTATTGGTACATTTAAATGGCGAATGTTATTTCGGTGAAACCATTAGCATTTTCAGCATCCGTATACGTGTCCATTCACAGTATCCTCATCCTGACATCTCTCCTGCTCTTGGAGATAGGAAAGCCTGTGTCTGGAGGGTTCCGCGGTTGGCGAGCAATGCAATATTTATTTCCTGTCTTGTGGTGAAGACTGTTCATTGTTTGCTCTTCACAGGTCACTGACAAGGAACGGGAGTTCGCCGCTGGGGCTGCAAAACAGCTCGAGTATCAGCAATTGGAAGACGATAAACTTTCTCAGAAATCATCGAGCAGTAAACTATCTAGATCTCCATTAAAGATTGTCAAAAAGCCTAAAAGCATGCAGTGCAAAGTGATACTTCTGGATGGATCAGAATATGCCTGTGACGTGGAGGTGAGTGCACATCTAAAAACTTTTTTTTTGTCCCAGATACTGAGAACTGGAGACTGTTGGCATAGAATATCCAGGCGCTTTCTTGTTTTCAGATCTCTGGAAAGTTATTCAGACCTGGTTTCTGAATACAAAATTATTTCCAAAGTCTCGAACAGGAGATCGTGTTACTAAAAATGCTTATGATGCCTCCAAGACGGTCCAGTCAAAAGAAAAATGTGATCTTAATTTAAAAAAATATATATATATGTATTACTAATACATAAAAATGGGGGCCTTAAAAACTTTTCATTAATATCTTGTGAGTTAATTCAAACGAATTTACTCTTTCTATTTGAATAGTTATACTTTTTTATTTGAATTATTTTCCTTCTATTTTAAATTATGGAATAATATTTTTTTTGTATTTGAATAATTTCAACCATTAATCGGGTAAACCTGTAAATTTCTGTACACGGCATTGGTAGGATAGTCTGAACTGCAAATGTGCTCTTAGGGTAATTTTTTTAAACATACATTGTGGTGGGCGTTGCACTTTGAGTGCAAAAAAGGTATACTAGTTTTCTTTCTGTAGAGGAGAACTAAAATTCCTCTCAGAGAAGGAGCGATGAGATGACCTTTGTCAGAGAAGTTTAGCGAGACCAAGTTAACAGATGGGAACCCCACTCCCTGCCCACAGTGGTGGAGATGGCTGGTTGTTGAATTTTCCATGTAGCACGGAGAACACACACACGGCCCAAACTTGGGCCTCAGGAGCAGGGGTGTCTGTGCACTGGCCACAGGGCCTTCTCCCCGCAGCTGGGAGGGAGCAGCAGGCTCTTTCTGCAAGGTGATTCAATTTCAGATTTAATGTTTTCTTTCTCCTTCCCCCCTCCCCTCCCCCCTTTTTTTGGTTTATTTTTTTATTTTGAGAGTACATGAGCTGGGGAGGGGCAGAGCAAGAGGGAAAGAGAAAGAACCCTAGGCAGGCTGGGCACCTGACCATGTGGGCAGTGACAATGTGGGGCTCGAACTCAACTGTGAGATCATGACCTAAGCTGAAATCAAGAGTTGTGCATTCAACCATTTGAGCCACACAGGCGCCCCAGATTTGACATTTTCATTCAAAGAGCTTATTCCGCCCACCTCAGCCCCCTGCCCTTGGTCATACAGGGACCTCACACATTCGTCTACACCAGCTCCTCCCACCGTGTGCTTATAGAGTTCACCTCTTCTGCTGGCTGTGCTGAAGGTCTGCCCCAGGCCCCACAGGCAGTGTGTGTGTGTGTGTGTGTGTGTGTGTGTGTGTGTGTTGTCATGCACTTCTAGTCCCCTTAAGACACAGTCAGTACTGGGGCGCCTGGGTGGCTCAGTTGGCTCAGCGTCTGACTTCGCCTCAGGTCATGATCTTATGGTCATGAGTTCGAGCCCCGCGTTGGGCTCTGTGCTGACAGCTCGGAGCCTGGAGCCTGCTTTGGATTCTGTGTCCCCCTCTCCCTCTGTCCCTCCCCTGTTCATGCTCTGTCTCTGAAAAATAAACATTAAAAAAATTTTTAAAAGACGTAGCCAGTTCCAAACCCACCTGATTTGCTGTGTCCTTCATTCATTCATCTCTTTCTCTGTCTGCAACCTCACATCATTCCTATTTTATTTTTCATACTCTTGTCCTATACCCAATCCTTTCCTCAGATCAGAAGAGTCAAATCCATTTCATGTTGATGATGTCATTGTGATGGGGATGGGCTTGGGTTACTTCACAACCCATAGAGAAAAAATGATTTTTTGAAAATAAATTCTGAGATCACGTTACTTGATCATATATTAACTGATAGAATGTTTGTTGTCCTGTGACCAGACAAATATTGATGGGTTGCTGCAGGGAGTGAAATACATGCTCCAGGGACCCTGCCTAAGGGTTGCCCTGCACAGACCCATTTTTTACATTTTTCTGGCTTTGGCTAATTTCTTGGTTCAAATTGTCCCATTATTTAGATGTTTATTCTGGAAATTGGGAGATCCAGTAATGTACTCCTACCTGGGTTTTACTCTGAACCATAAAGGACTTTTGTAACCAAGAGAGATTGTATTTTTCCAGCATGGATCTACTTTCTGGAAAAATTGATCTAAGAGAAGCTTTTTTCTTAATTTTGAGGAGAGTCTATTGACTCTATTATTAATGAAATAAATAGGGTTGCCCTGCAGCCTTCCCGTCCTGGCTACCAGAGCTTTCTAAAGAAGAGTCTAGAAGAAGGTTTAATGGTATTTAGGGGGTGGGGGAAATAAATGCCTCAGGGCTGATTGAGGTACGCATAAGTGTTGACCATTTTGTAGACTTAATTTATATCCCATGTGTTCCAGATAATCTGTTTTTGAGTTCAGAATTTTTATTTTGTGGACTTTGAATATAATTCAGTGGTAGTGTCCCTGCAAACATTTTGAGTGACATGACAATGTTGGTCGGTCATTTTCTCTTACAATTTTTTAAATAAATTTGATAGGTTCTTAATAATTCTTTTTTTCTGGGGCACAAAATCCTTTGCCAACAGAATATTCTCAGTTTTTCAACAGACATTGGTAGTAGAAAAGACCGTGGTCATTTCTGACTGACACACTTGTGGAGAAGATAGTGAAATTTGGGCGTGGCAGAGTGAAATGGACCTATTTGTAGCCGACTGATTGAAGAAGAAAAACGGATTGTAAATCAGTGACGTGGTTCTCAAGGTAGCAACAGGATAGTAGTAGGAAAAGCATGTTCAGAATGACTCTTGATTTTAGATGCAGACAACAGCGCATAAAGCTTGGCTGGCAAGGTGTGTGGGGTGTTAATAGGTAAACGGTGGTGGAAAACATTGCCCTAGACAAGGTGTCCTTCAGTCTTGCTCTCCTCTAAGCTGAGTTTTTATCAACATTTTGGTTGCGCGCGCGTGCGCGCGCACACACACACACACACACACACACACACACACACACACCAGCTGAACCATTTTTAAGTGATGCAGACCTTTAAAAGTAACTAATGCACTGTGTGTCAGAATCCAGGTTTCTCATGAAGTGGACAGTGTGTGACTAGTAACAAGGTCACACTTTGCTGTGTTTTGAGGGATCAGATGCAGCACAGCAATGTGTCAGAGGAAGGAGTGGTCAGACTTCATAACAGTTTGAGAAAAACTAATCTTTGGGTTTATGTCGATTTCAAACTCAGCGTTAACCAGCTGTGTGCTGTGGCTGTCAGAAACACCCGTGCGGTCATGGTTTTTTTCTGTGGAAGTGCAGTGTGTGGTTTCCTGAATGTGGCCAGCAACCCCGTCTCACTGGGCTGGAGAGATCCAGTCTGCTGTGTATTTATTGTTGATTAGCTCATGCAGTATAGCACTCATTGGAGCCCACAGACCCAGGTGTGAAAATGATTTGTCTATTTGCAACCTGTGGATTTCAAGGAACCCAAGCTTTCTGGACCTCGGCTGACCAGAAAAAATAGAGATGAATATACTTTCCTTAAAAACCCATTATTGAGAAGATTAAGGTAGATACTTAATTTGAACACTTTCTGCAATGTCTCATATCCTTGATAAATGGTAGCTATTTAATGATGAGAAAAACAATGAGCTCTGACTTGAGCTTATTCAGCAGAGGGTTATAGATAGTGAATGATCTGGAAACCTCTTCTCATGAAGAATGATTACAGAAATAGAATGTGTTGAAAAGAGAAAACATTTCCACATGTCTCCCAGCTTCGGAGGGGACAGGATAGCGACTTTCAGTTACTTGGAAAAGTTGGCATTCAATGTCTGTCTTAACACATCTTTTTTTATGGTATAGAGAGTAGAACTAAATTTAGATGTTACAGGAAGTCCGATTTTTAAGTAAACAGAAAATGCATGTTTTATTTTTTTTTCTTAATTATGTGGCATTTATTTTTTTTATTTTTTTTTTTTTACAAATAGTTTATTGTCAAATTAGTTTCCACATAACACTCAGTGCTCATCCCCACGAGTGCCCTCCTCCATGCCCATCCCCCCTCCCCCCCACATCCATCAGTCCTCAGTTTTTGTCAGCATTCAAGAGTCTCTCATGGTTTGCCTCTCTCCCTTTCCCCCACCATTTCTCCCCTTCTTCTCCCCCTTGCTCCTCCGTCAAGTTCCTCCTAATCCTCCTATACGTGCAAACATATGATATTTGTCCTTCTCTGCCTGACTTATTTCGCTCAGCATAACACCCTCAAGGTCCATCCATGTTGCTACACATGGCCAGATTTCATTGTTTCTCATTGCCATGTAGTATTCCATGGTGTAGATAAACCACATCTTCTTGATCCAGAAAAGCATGTTTTAAATTATTGCTGTCGACCTTGTGAATCACGCTCTGCAGGAGGACTCCGGCAGAAATTGTAGGTGCCTTTATGGAAGCTGTCAGCTCCCCAGATGCGGTCTGAGAGCTGATAACTCCCAGTGCCCCTTCCTGCTCTCAGACTCCTGGAGAGAAGAGACACACAAAAATCTGAATTGGGAAGCAATTCTGCTTCTCGTAATCCCCGTCCCCAACACATACAGTTGTAGGTGAATTAAGAACAGGATGCAGGAGACAACAACACGTATAAGGTTTTTGGTTTTTTTTAGGGTTTTTTTTTTTGCATTTAATAAGGTATCAAGAAAGGCATTTTATTTTACTGAAATCTCTATGCCTAAGTGTTTTCCCCCATGGCTTATTTAATGCCTTCATCACTTTACCATCAAAATCAACAAGGCTCACCTCTGCTATGATGTTATCATGAGAATATATAGACTCCTATAAAGGACCCCCATGAACACACCCACATGCACACACATACACACTCCTACCTCGGAATAGCACAGCCCCTCTCGCTTTTCTTTTGAAACCACAAGGAAGCATTTCACCACTCCCCCTAGTGCTGTGGTCATCTTCAACCCCTGCATCCTCATGTTTAGATGGAAGCCTTTTCCATTTGTGCTGGCTTTTTCATATTTCTCTCAAGAGTAGTCTTAGGTCATTGAAGCATTCAGTGG